CCCCCCCCCCCCCCCCCTCGAGGACCAGCGTCTTCGCTGACACTCTTTCCTTCCTCCAATCGATGTAGGACTGCCCCAAAATCCACCCCCTTTGGGGCCCAGCATTCTTCCTGGCACATCGTCTGGTGTCTGGCTTTGATACCATTTGTAACAACCTAGGCCCACCGCTAGCAGATATTGTCCTCTTTGGGCTTTCCCTTTCGGGCTTCCCCTTAGGGCTTTAAAACGCATCTACTAGGGGAAAGTTTTCACACCCTTATAAATGGTGGTTTGTTCTCCTCCCCAACCAATGTGGGACATCACAGTTACTCCTTCTTGTGTCATGTGTCTCATTTGTATTGTGAGACTATTAGGTCTAGACCGACTGCCTTAGTAGTTATCTATCACAAAAAACATACTCTACGATGTATGCCAGCAAAACCGAGTTGGAAATACGATGACATACACTAAGACTAGAACACAATTATCTGGATATCCCAAACTTAGCCTAGTAAACGAGCTCTAAGAGACTAGAGAGAGCTTTATTTGGCTAATGTAGAAAAGTTAGAAACTGACCTGCTGAAAATTAAAAGTAAGCAGAAGAACCTAAATGCTAAACTAGACAAACGTACGACATAGTTTTATGGCGTTTGGGTACAAATAGGAGCTTCTAGGGGCTCGATGTTGATTGTAGACCACGTAACCACTCTATGTGAGACATCAAATCAATAACAATTGTTTGCATAAGCTTTCAAACAAAACCCGAGGTTGACCAAAAGAGATTTAGTTAATCTTAGATACTCATGGTCAGGAAACTTAAGGTATACGTATACAACGTTTAGTCATAAGCACGTCTTAGTAGTAAGTAGTTACATGAGAATCAATTTAGTTCAGATGAGCAGAACGAGTCCTACCTCTAGTACGCAACCTATTATCGAGAATCTGGGTTAAGTAGTTTATTGATGGCTTATAGTAGAGTCTCCGTTATATGTGAATCTGTATAAACAATCTTATTAGGTTTAAGCGAGCTACTTACTGAGTACATTTTTATACTCATTCGTGTTACTTTTCCTTTCTTATAGGTAAGACCTGAGTTAGGTTAACGACGATGGCATGAGGAAGCTAAATGGTTATGAACCTGGTAGATTGAAGTTTAGACTAGACTCTAAAGTTTTCGTTGTCTGTTATGTCATAGAATCTCTAAATGTTGTTTTTTTAGCACGAGTTGACTTTTAGCCTAACGAAGAGCTGAAACTGAAATCTATTCACTCTCGTGAGACATTTGAAACGATTCAAGATCACTTGTCTCTTGTCCTTGAAGATCCATTTGTCAATCCCTTACTTCCATTATAGCGAAAATTTCGAAAACACGTGTAAAAATCAGTTGAGTTATGTTAAAGGTAACAAGTGCAAAGACCTATGATACTCAAGGGTAGAAGTTAAAAAAATCAAATTTATAATTTTACCGCGAATTTTTTTTACCTAGGGTGAAAAGTAGAGGGGTATTTTCGACATTAACCATCAAAGACTGGTAATAACCGGGCTGGATGAGGACAGCTTGGAACTAGTGGCGAACGCCGTTAGTCTTGGACACGCTTTCTTGACGGGAGGCTTCCCACCGTCTCCGCCGATTTCAGACGGCTGGAATTGGAAATGGAAATAAAAGGCTCGTTTTTACCATATTACCCTTCCACTCATGCCTTAATTACAAAACTCCCTCCCCACCTTTCATAGGCTTCTTTTTAATTTTTTTTAATTAACTTATTTATTAAATATAAATATAAATTTTATGTTTGATTAAATCGAAAATATTTAATTTTATATTTAATAAATTCATAAAAAATAAAAAAAAAAATTTAAAAATCATTATTTGTTGTAAATAAATTAAATATAAATATCGAAAACTTTATCTCTTTTTCTGTGCTGTAATAGCTGAGAAAATAATAATAATAATAAATGATTTATAACTATATTAATCTGAATTTATTATTATTATTATTATTATTTTACAAAAATACAAGGCTTAATCATTTCTTACAAATTACAGACATATATTAATAAAGGCTTTAAGGTGTAGGTATATTTTTAGAAAGTCAATAAAAATGATGATTTTTTATTTTATTTTATTTTATTTTTTATCTAAATTTTTAAAATAAATAATGCAAGTTTTTAAAACTCAAAATAATTAAAGTTAAATGACTAAATTAGACAGTCAAACTTATATTTGGATGGGAACACCTTGTCCTAATTTCGTCATTTTCCTTTTTTAAATATTAAAGAAAAAAAAATAAAAATCTATTGTCACCAGCTCATTTAAAAAACATAATTTCTTCACTTGCTTTTTCTTTTTCTGTAAAATATATATATATATATATATATATTTATTTATTTATTTATTTATTTTCCTGATTTTTTTTCCCACATATACAAAATCCACGTCAATATATAGTACAAATTATTATTATTAGAAAATAAAATTATTATTAAGTGAACTCAACTATTTTAAAAATTATTAGCATAACAAATTATTTTAATGGTTTTTTTAATTCAACCCGGCTAAAAATTTGAATCTTTAATTTTTTAGTCGAAAAAATGAATAATTTGTCACGTGACAAATAATATATATAATATGAGTGTCTATGGATAGTGTCACAATCACCTTTTAAACCTCTCTAAAATCTTCTTTCAAATGGGGTCCCGAGGTTTGAATACACGTTGCCTGACCGTAGGTACTGTGATCCGAAGTTGGCTTAACTCACTCAGTGTTGAGAGTGAGTGTCGCACAATCGTCAAATCCGCTGTCGAGAAAAGGCGATTGTGATAGTTGGTATCAAAGCCTAGTTGGTTCCGAAGTGATCGATAGACATGTCTACGACCAAACAGTTAAACAAGTCCCACGTCGACAGATTAGTCGAAATAAAAGAACAAATGCAATACTTGCAGGAAGTCCTCGACAGTATTCGATATCTAAACGAGCGAGTGAAGGAACTTGCTGACAAGACCCTTGTCGTTGATGCAATAAAGGGTCGGTTAGATGGGTTGCCCATTCAAGAAATAATGTATCGAACGAAAAACCTAAAAACAAAAACCTCAGAGAATGGTGGTTTCGAGCGAGGAGACAGCTCGACAAGCTCTACTGGCCTAAGTGAGGAGCGAGTCCAAGCATGACCGTGACACATAGTATGAAAATCTCTATAAAAGAAGTATGTGAATTCATTTCTCGGCTCTAAGTAAAGGTAAATGTGGCGTTTATCGAGGAGACCATGGAAATGAAGTCATTGATAGATAGTTTCACGTATTTTAGTAACTTTTCATTCATAGAATAGTTTGGTTATGTTTCAGCTTTTGAACTCCGCTCAGAGAGTTGATAAGCCTTTTTTCGAACTATGTTGTCACCATCTATGCATTATTTATAAAGATCAATGTAACAGCCCAAACCCACTGCTAATAGATAGTGTCCATTTTGACCCATTACGTATGGTCGTCAGCCTCATGGTTTTAAAATGTGTCTGGTAGGGAGAGGTTTCCACCCCCTTATAAAGAATGTTTCGTTCCCCTCTCCAACTGATGTGGGATATCACAATCCACCCCTCTTCGATACCTAACGTTCTCGCTGGCACACCACTCGGTGTCTAGCTCTGATACCATTCGTAGTCCAATGATTTAACTCCCGACAAACACACGTTTCAGATTGTGAGATCTCATATCGTTTTGAGAGGGGACTGAAACATTCTTTAAAAGGGTGTGAAAACTTCTCCCTACTACATGCATTTTAAAACCGTGAGAGATACGTAACAGATCAAAGCGGACAATATCTACTAATGTAGTGAGTTTTAAGCTCTTACAATTAAAATCCACGAGGTTAAAACGGACTTTTAGATACTTTCACTTCAACCCGTCGTAACAAACATGTAGCAACGAACTTATTTTAAACCGAAACAGTAGGGCCGTTATTGTACTTTCTAAAATCAATAAGAATAATATTTATCTTGTTTTAATTAGATAAATTAATATTTTCGGTTAAACAGAGAGTAATTAGATAAGTTTAAATTTGTTCGTTCTAATTTTAATTTTTATATCTAAAAATAATAATTATACAACGTGGAATATTAAAAAAAAAATAGTAATTAAATATAAATATCTTAGGTGTCAAACTCCTTTTCGTGACTTTCAAATTAAGAAATTTAATCTTTTATTGTAAGCAATATGAATGGATAATCAAAATAAATAAACATAAACATAAAAATAAGTATAATTAATTAATTAATTCAATGTTATATATATATATATATATATTATAATATTTCTTTTATTCATTTTATAAATTATATTTATTATTTGAATATAGGATAAGGAACCGAACTTAGCAATCCATCTCATGAAACAGTGGCTTTTCCGAAATATCGCGAACAAAGAAGGGCAAATCTGTCATTTCTTGTTTAAAAGAATACACGTCAGCAACTTCTTAATTTCATCCAAGACTTAATTAAGCATTCAATTTCAAACCTCTCTTCTCTTCATCTTCCTCTTTTAAGAACAATATTTGTGTGTATATATATATATATGTGCAGAAGTAGAGAGGGAATATACATATATATATATATATATATATAGAGAGAGAGAGAGAGAATATGGATGCTTGGCTGTGTAGCAATGGAGGCTCCAATCTGTTTCTTCTTCGGATGTTGATGATCTTTTGTTTTTGTAATTTTGTTGCAAATGCTTCTTTCAATGTCAGTACAATCCGTTTCAATGAAGGTTTATCGCCTCTTTTTGGAGACAGCAATCTTGTTCGTTCTCCTGACGGCAAATCCGTTCGACTTCTCCTCGATCGCTTCACCGGTATTGTTTTTTGATTTGAAATTGCTCTGTTTCTGAGAGAAAACGTGTTTGAATTTCCGCGGTTTGATTTTTTTGAATTTTAATGAAATTTTCAGGCTCAGGATTCATCTCGTCCAAGATGTATAATCATGGATTCTTCAGCGCCAGAATCAAATTGCCGTCCGATTACACCGCTGGAATCGTTGTAGCCTTCTACGTAAGTAGCGATTGAATTAAGTTTTGTTTAATCTCGCCTTAATTGTTTGGTTGCTGAGTAGAAGGAATCGTTGTAGCCTTCTACGTAAGTAACGATTGAATGAAGTTTTGTTTAATCTCGCCTTAATTGTTTGGTTGCTGAGTAAAAGAAATCGTTGTAGCCTTCAACGTAAGTAGCGATTGGATGAAGTTCTGTTTAATCTCGCCTTAATTTTTTGGTTGCTGAGAAAAATTAAGAGCCGCGAATGTTGAAAAGATAATTTCCACAAGAAATTTCGGTCAAACAGGAGTCGTAATCGTTGAATCAATTAATCGAACAGAAAACCTAGAAATGTATTGATTCAATTTCAGATTAAACAAACACTCTTACGGAAATTGAATGAGAACTTATACTCGATTCCGCAAACTACAAATTTCGTCCTAATTTGTTATCCTCCATGATTGCGAATGATGATCGCGGTTGAATTTTGTTTCGTTTTTGTGCATGTTCGTCCGTAACAGACCTCGAACGGAGACGTATTCGAGAAGAATCATGACGAGCTGGACTTTGAGTTCTTAGGGAACATAGACGGGAAGCCATGGAGGTTTCAGACAAATCTGTACGGAAACGGAAGCACGAACAGGGGGCGGGAGGAGCGGTACCGGCTCTGGTTCGACCCTTCCAAGGAGTTCCACCGGTACAGCATTCATTGGAGCGCTCACAATATTATGTAAGTATATCTCTATAGACTTTTCAAATACTAAATTACCTTATTTCTATGTTTAACGGTACTTTTAAAATTTTGTTTTTAGTTTTTTATTTTTTATTTTTAAATTCTTTAAGAGTTTTTTTGGGCTAATAAATTTGAAATTTGATTCAAACACATATAGCTGATTTTAGCAATATAATTTAAAATTTTAAAAATGGTAACTTTCTAAATTTTACTTTCACATCAAAATTTATCTTTTATTTTAATAAAAAATAATTTTAATTAACTTTTACCAATTTAGTTTTTTTTTTTTTTGTAAAATTGAAAAAATGGTAACAAGGATGTTAAAATTTTATAATATTCTGTATAATATTAGTAAATTTCTAATAAAAAATAAAGTATTAAAATCTGATCGAAACTTACCCAAAATTTGAAGTGTATTTTGTCTTAAATTTGAGGTGTATTTCGTAAATTAACTCTTAAATTTGTGGTGTATTTCGTAAATTAACTTTTAAAACGTGTATATATATATATATTAAATTATAAATTTATTCGTTTCTACCTTTGTAATATTATATTATATTGTTTAGAAATTTTTTATGATTTTTTATAAATTAAATTTGAAATTTAACCTCTATATATATATATATAATAAATGGTAATGGTAATTGGAAAGGGTGGATTGCGTGTAGAATTTGATGGATGGCGATGGTTGGTTTGGTTCCATCGTGAATTGAGTGGCCATTAAATAAAGATCGACATGAATTATTTTCTGGTCATTTTCAGTTTTTCTTTCTAAATCGGTTGAGGAATTTCATTATTTCAATTTTCCTTTGAGGAATTGATTACATGAATGGTAACTGAGAATGACAAATGATGACTTTCTGGTTTTCTGGTTTGAAAAACACAAAAGAATTATTTGTTTGGTTCTATATATTTTTTTTCATTTTAAAATTAAATCTTAGCTAAATTACAAATATAGAACGTAAGTGTGATGCATTCATTATTTAGCCAATGAATCATTTTAGTAATAATTGAAATAAATTTATTAATTGTGAGTTCCTATAAGTAATTCCCTCTTTGGTTTGTTTGTCATTTAATCTTTTGATTTGGAATCGACATGGTGTTTTCTAATACCATATGATTGAATGAAAAGGATAAGAATGGAAACTGCATGGTGCAAAGTCAAGAGTCAGCATCTTTTTATTATTATTTTTTTAGTGTGAATTTGTGAACAAAGCTACAATTTTGGATCACATGGCAAAGTAAACACTACCCATTCACAAAAGATGGATCCATGTGATGCCATTGCTTTGCTTTGCGTAATCTAAGACTTGGATAAGAATTTTTGTTTAGGGTCTCTTCTTAATTCTCTCGCTCCCTAATTTATCACCTCTCTCTCGAAAATTGTGATGCGTACTATGATAATAAGTTCGTTATTTAGAATTAATTTAATTTTTTAACCTCGAGAAAAACAACTATAAAGTAGGAAAGGTATATATATATATATCTTTATTTATTTATTTATTTTTATTTTATTATTATTTTTTAGCTATGTTTATGTTGACTTACAACATAGTTATTAATATGATGTTTGCGTGTGTATGTGTGTATATATATGTATGTATGTATCCATATATATATGTATATATATAATTATTGAGCTATGTTTCTGCTGACTTAGAACGTAGTTATTCATATGATGTTTGTGTGTGTATGTATGTATATATGTATATATATAATCATTAAGTTATGATTATGTTGACTTAGAACATGGTTATTCATATGATGTTCATGTGTATATGTATGTATATATGTATATATATAATCATTAAGTTATGATTATGTTGACTTAGAACATAGTTATTAATATGATGTTCGCGTGTGTATGTGTGTGTATATATATATATAATTATTGAGCTATGTTTATGTTGGCTTAGAACATAGTTAATTATATGATGTTCGTGTGTATATGTATGTATATATGTATATATATAATCATTAAGTTATGATTATGTTGACTTAGAACATAGCTATTAATACGATGTTCGTGTGTGTATGTATGTATGTATATAATCATTAAGCTATGTTTATGTTGACTTAGAACATAGTTATTCATATGATGTTCGTGTGTATATATATGTATATATATAATCATTAAGTTATGTTTATATTGAATAGAATATAGTTATTAATATAATATTTACGTGTATATATTATATATATACGCGAAAAACAACTATAATATAGAGTTCACAAGAACATAGTTATTCATACGTGTATGTATGTGTAATATATAATTATTGAGTTATGTTTATTTTTACTGTATGATCTTCTTATTTTATTTTTTTGAAACTTTGTAGATTTTACATTGACGAAGTTCCCATTAGAGAAGTGGTGAGAAATGAAGCAATGGGTGGAGATTACCCATCAAAGCCAATGTCTTTATACGCCACAATTTGGGATGCCAGCAATTGGGCAACCTCAGGAGGCAAATACAAAGTCAACTATAAATATGCACCCTTTGTTTCTGAATTCAAGGACTTTGTTTTGGATGGTTGCGCCTCTGATCCCATTCAAGAAGTTCTAGAAGCTTCCAACTGCACCAACCTCAACGCCCGTCTTAACGCTCGAGACTTCGCCACTATAACCGCGGGGCGTCGCGCTGCCATGCGCAATTTTCGCGAGCATTATATGTACTATTCATACTGTTACGATTTACTCCGATATCCTACTCCACCTCCAGAATGCGTCATTATTTCAACTGAGCAACAACGTTTCAAGAACACTGGAAGGCTGAAGTTCGGCGGTAGCCATCGTCGTCGCTCGAAGCGGCGCAACAAGAAGAACCCAAGTGATTTTGTGAACAATGAATCAAGTATGTAATAATGTGTGCACACGGAAGTAATTTTTTTGTCTGTTTATAAATTTGGTGTACGTTGTTTCAATAATAAACTTTTATAAATATATTTGTTTATTTTCAAATTATTCTCAGCTTCTTATTGTGATTTTTTATTTGATTAGGACAATAATTATAACAAAAATGAGTTAGTTTTTAAATATCATTATGGGTTAATATTAAGTAATTAAAACTTATATTTTTATGCTATCAACAAAGCCACGTGGATAAATTGGTTAGGGGATGTAACTGTCTAGGACAGCTGTACCATGCTTCTATGATTGATGACCCATGCCACGTGGACTTGTTTGATATTGACGTTTGCTTCAAAGTGTGGAGTATTTGCTGGTCACATGAATTTGGATTAATATCTTTGTTTATTTAAATAATTAAAATGATTTATTCGTTTGTATTTTTAATTTAGTTGGCATGATTTGAAAGTTTAATTTAATCACTTATATTTAGAATTTTTTTAATTGTATCATTCATGATTTGCAAGCGAAGAGGTTTCATTCAAGAGACGACAACGTGTGATGATAACCTTTCACACTATAAAAATTTAAACCGAGACTTAGATTATCAAAATTTGTAATTTTATCTTCAAATTTCTAACATTATGTTATGGTATAGACAGGTGTCTTAGACGTCTTCCAATAGAAATGAATTTTCGAGGATAATGTCTGGTGGCATGGGTGAGTCAATATTACAGCGCGTCTCGAGTTAGGTTGAAATGTAGGGCCAGACTCCAACACATAAAAAGCACACCTTCAACTAATCAACTTTTTATATTGTGTCGGGTTTGCAATAGTCATTTCGTTATGTTTATTTGCCTTTGTCATTAGTAGGTCGTGGTAAGAAGATGAATCAAACGTCTAGCATAATATGGCAAAGGTCGAGATCTGAATTTCGAACTATCTTATGATAATGTGTTGAATACGGATTGAGAGACTCGTTCTTTCTTCTCTCTCATACATCGTTTATGGATTTTGGTTACACATTCCGTCGTTCAGATACTAAAACGAAAAGCCCAAAAAGAACAATTTTCTAACACTCATACACGAATGAGAATCTGAAGAAAATTATTCTATTGTTCTGTAACGATATATATATATATATATATATATCCAAAAGTATGAGACTGAAAGAGAAGAAATGGTACAAATTGAAAATTAATGATTCCTAAGATATATAAACATGAAAATGGTAGTGAACATATACACCTATATATAATAAAATGAGTCCATCCTAAGAGATGAAGGATCTGTACATTACCAAGAGGCCAAGCATTTGAGGCAGCTTCAATGTCTATTGAAATGCACATGCCTTGGGGTAGGGACAGGCCTGTAAATCAGCAAAATTCCCTCGAGACGTCGATGACGAGTGACAGAATTGATTTCCTCTTACAGTTCGTGCACGAATTGAATGACCAGTGTTGTTCTGTGAGTCGCAAAATTGTGTCAAATTATGTCATGAGCTGCACGTTGTAAAAGAAGATGGAAAGATAAATGGTACAGAAATCCATATGGAAGTCGAATGTAAAAGAGTGAAAGATCGACTTATCAACTTTTAGATTATTAAGCCATGCTTAATTAACTAAGCTATGCTCGTTTTGACTATTGGTTTCCGCATCAGCTAATCATATCACAAACATCTTAGACAGTTTTTCTATCATTTTTCAGGATTTCCAGCAAATATCAGTACTCAACTCAATTGTGTTCATGGAAACCAGAATTTGAGGTACCTGATTATATAATGAACTGATCTAGAAAAACGATTGCAAACGACTAGATCCAAGGTTGTGACAAAGAGACATCTGCAGTTGATGCTCTTAGTGCTTGTCTGCCGTAAATAGCCGCTTTGAGCACATTATATTGCATGGACACAGAATCAAACAGAGCCTTTGAGTATGCCTCCCTAGCCTGCCAAACCCCCGGTGTTTAATGAGAACAAAAAACATTGTATTTGTGCTTTATAAATAAATTCTCACACTCCTAGATTTAACAGTATGTTTACTTCATACGATTCGAAACAATAAATCGAGCACAATATTTTACTACCTCCTTATACTCCATAAAAATTTAAAGATCAGACAGACCTCATCAGGATTTCTGTGGGTAGCAGCAATGGCCTCGAAGCTGATTGCAGGAGCCAAAGACAAACCCACCCCATTAAAGGAAATCACTCTTTTTTCTCCAATTTCAATTTCTACCTGGAAAAAAGGAAGAATTAATATATAAAAATGTAATGAAATTAAAAAGGAACGAAAGGTTATATATACCTTTGAAGGAGGTGGCATGATGTCATAACATAATAAAGCAAGGGGACACAAATGCCCAGGAACACCCGAGTGTTGAATGAGCCTTCTCATGTTGTCCATTGAAGAAGCATCAAAGGGTGCCTGACCCCTCTAATATCAGTACGAACTACTTTTGTATATAAAAAAATAATTGAATATAACAATTTCAAAGACATAAACTGAACTAAAAGAGATTCGAACACAAGAAGAAATTGTGATGTCCCACGTTGGTTGGGGAGGAGAATAAACCACCATTTATAAGGGTGTGGAAACCTTCCCCTAGCAGACGCGTTTTAAAGCCTTGAGGGGAAGCCCGAAAGGAAAAGCCCAAAGAGGACAATATCTGCTAGCGGTGGATCTGGGCCGTTACAAATGGTATCAGAGCCAGACACCGGACGATGTGCCAGCCTTCTCGCTGTTTCCCGAAGATGGGTAGACACGTGGCGGGGGGTGGATTTGGGAGCGGTCCCACATCGATGGGAGGAAGGAAAGAGTGTCGGCGAGGACACTGGACCCCGAAGGGGGGTGGATTGTGATGTCCCACATTGGTTGGGGAGGAGAACAAACCACCATTTATAAGGGTGTGGAAACTTTCCCCTAGCAGACGCGTTTTAATGCCTTGAGGGGAAGTCCGAAAGGGAAAGCCCAAAGAGGACAATATCTGCTAGCGGTGGATCTGGGCCGTTATAGAAATGATAGAAATGAAATGATAGAAATGATGACTAAAGTGTACAAAATGGAGTAGAGAATAGGCTTTTGCTGGTCCTTTTCTATTTTTACGAAAAAATGATTTAGAGAATGAAAAAGGGGAAGAGGCCACAGAACAATGAAACCCCACACCTCATTCACTCCTTTACTATTGTGGAGATCTTCTAACCAAGACAGGCCAAAAATTTTCGTTGTACCCTTGTCTACAGAATAATAAGGGTACTGTTCAGTATTCCCCTTCCTGTTCTTATTTTTGTGGTATGTGCATGAAATTAGAAGACCAGTACACAAACCACTGACATAAAAAATCAGAACACAAGGATGAATATTTTAAACTGAATTACTAACCAAAGCTCACTACTGCAACGAGAAACTAGATATGCCTCTGCATATTTGTCTTTATTCAAGGTAAAGAGAACTTACTGGTGACCATTCTCCAGATGATGGATCCAATCGGTCCCGGCCACCACTTGGTGCAATCCATATTAGTTGCGATCCACCCCTATGTAAAATTTACCGCTGATGAAGACATAAAAATGGAAAATAGGAAAGAACATATTGAGGCTTAAAAGACGCAATAAATTTAAGATATTTGGAATTGACAATTTATTGACTGGTAAAACACAGCATAAAAACTGATGGATGGAAGTCCCACGTCGGCTAATTTAAGGAATGATCATGAGTTTATAATCAAGGAATACTCTCTCCATTGGTATGAGGCCTTTTGGAAAGCAAAGCCATGAGAGCTTATGCTCAAAGTGGACAATATCATATCATTGTGGAGAGTCGTGTTCATCTAACATAGTATCAGAGCCATGCCCTAAATTAGCCATGTCAATAGAATTCCCAAATGTCGAACAAAGGACTCCAAAAGAAAAAGGAGTTGAGGCTCCTCGAAGGCATAGTAAAAAATGACTAAGACTCCAAAAGAAAAGGAGTCGAGCCTCAATTAAGGGGAGGCGTATTTTGTTCGAGGGGAGGTGTTGGATGGAAGTCCCACATTGACTGATTTAGAGAATGATCATAAGTTTATAATCAAGGAATACTCTCTCCATTGGTATGAGGCCTTTTGGGGAAGCCCAAAGCAAAGTCCATGAGAGCTTATGTTCAAAGTGGACAATATCATACTAGTGTAAAGAGTCGTGTTCTTCTAACAGAAACAAGCTTTTTTCCCCCTAGCTGCTACCAGTGGTATAGGTACCTTAAAAGTAAAGCCATCTCCTTTAGACTTCGTGTGTTTGCTTTCCTTTTTGTTTCTGCAAGCTCGGGAATATCAAACATGTGCTTTTTTGAATAAACACAAATAAGATTTCTGCATTTGTAAATTGAGTCCGTTTAGTTAAATAATTAGATATACTGTAACGGTCCAAGCTCACCGATAGCAGATATTGTCCTCTTTGGGCTTTCCCTTTTGGGCTTTCCCTCAAGGTTTTAAAACACGTTTGCTAGGGAAAGGTTTCCATACCCTTATAAAGGGTGTTTCGTTTTCCTCCCCGTGGATATCACAAATACAATCTGATAAATTGTAGGAAAATTATATTGGAACCTTCCAATGCTGAAGGGCTTGCAAAGAGGGTCTACAATAACTCTATCCCCTGCTACGTAAATCTGCAAGACAGAAAAGATACTCAGTTTATGCCAGCACTTACTGAATTCCCTCAAAATTTTAGCTGAACATTGCAGGGGTATACCGAAAAGAAATAGGCGTACCATGTTTTCAGCAATATATGGACTTGTCTTTTCAAGCAACAATGAAATAATAGCTGGATCTGCTTCAGTCTGATGATTTGATATCAAGACAACATTGTGACCCTGAAATGAAATGTCATGAACAATCAGAGGCCTTCAGCATGGCAACAGATTGGAAGAAATAAAGTTTTACAAGTCGCAAAAGAGAAACAGGAAAACCAGTCAGCAAAATATCAAACAGATCTCAATGAATTGCTTCTCTTTATGTAACGTCCCGTTCAGTTTTTTAAAATAATAATAATAATAATAAAAAAAAAAATAAAAATCATATTTTCCATTCCACCATAAAATTTCTTTTTACAAAAAAAAAAAAAAACAAAACAAAAGAGAGAGCTTTTCCATAAACCTCCTGTACTGCACAAATTCAAGCTCACAAAAAGTAGTGTTATAGACTATTTCAGTAAGTCAATTTCCAAATTTTCTTACAAATCTCTTGAATTGGGTTGGAAAAGAAATACCAAAATGATCCCTATGTTCTAGAGAAATCGTAGTAAGTTATATCTTAGATTTTCTTCTCGTTTATTCAAATTTTGTTACAATTATTTAGATCTTATTTAGAAATTAAATATCAACAAGGAAGTCTAGCCCGTAGCCATTTTTTTAAAAATCAATTAAAACTAGTAAAAAGTAATTGTAAATTAAACCAAAGTAAGAGAGAGTGAGAAACAAAGTGGTACAAAAGAGAAAAGATAAATGGAAAGATAAATGGAAGATCTAATAAATTATTATTATTTGTATCTAGTGAATATAATACTATAACAAACAATATTGGGATTGAATGATCCAAGTAACATAAAATAATATTGACATATTTTTAATTTAAGTTTTACTACCAAACACAATTTAGAAACAATAAAAACGTGGAATTCAATTTTTACTGAGGCTGTTTTAGAGTCGTATTTCACATTGTTAGTTGGATTATTAATTAAAATGTAAAATACTAACGAAAGGTGACAAACGGTGCGATAGGAAGCGAACCCCATCAACCTTTAGAGCAGCTCTCGAGGAACAAGAGCTTACGTTTAGCTAAATTAGGGAGTACTTTAGCTAAAGACAACCAAGTGGTCTTACTCTCACATTATTAGTTGGATTATTAATTAAAATGTAAAATACTAACGAAAGGTGACAAACGGTGCGATAGAAAGCGAACCCAATCAACCTTTGGAGCAGCTCTCGAGGAACAAGAGCTTACGTTTAGCTAAATTAGGGAGTACTTTAGCTAAAGACAACCAAGTAAGTGGTCTTACTCTAGGATAGGTTAGAAATTGTATGAGTTATGATGGTGCATGAGTTGTATCGTATGATGTCGTATACTATTATATGATGATGTATGAGTTATGATGCTTGATGTGCGTAATATATATATTTCGATGAATGACGTAATTGATGTGCTTGAGGCACTTTATGACAATATGATGAGTATGATGATTGCATGACGTTTTACCTTAATATGATGATGTTTTCCATATTGAGCATGTTATATGATGATGAGTGTCATATTACATCATGTCGTTAGATCGATATATGACACAACCTAAGAGAATAAAAATGATATAAATATAAATATCCACGGGCATGTGTTACTTAATGTAACAAAGAGATGAGACTAGAGGGTTGTGTCAGAAGAGATGATGAGATGGACATTAGAGGAACCTCATGCATATTGTATGTTCATAAGCATGGGGATACTTCCCCTAGAGATGATGAGTGTGGACACGCACAGTATGACGAGCAGAGTGTTCATGAGGAGCATGACACTGTGGAGTTCCGCTGACCTCCGAACGTCGCTACAGATTAGCTTGACCAGAGGGTCCAGCGGGTGTGCGAGCGCCTTGGAGATTCACACTTGTACGCGTGGGTCGTGTGTAGGGAGGTACTACACATCCAATTTGTCTAAGACTGGAGGCTATCCCTAGATGAACTAGAGATAGATCCCAAGAGCATGATTGCATGTGTTTGCACTTGCATGGGCCCCTATAGTAGGGCCACTTACTGGGTATTCTTCAAAATACTCAAGCCGTTTTCTACATCATTTTTCAAGTAAAGGCAAGGCACAACTGTACGGAGGACGGTGACATCACAAACAGAGACTGTGACACGTGCATAAGGTAGACTCATTTAAATTCCTAGTCTTAAGTTAGAATAGGTTGTTTGCATTTTATCGTTTTAAATTATTTTGTATTTGTTTTTAATTTCTCTAAATTTCAGTATTTCGTATTTAAACACGTAAGACCATGACTGTGTTTTCCAGGGAAGAGGATGTTTTAAATATTTTCGACATTCATACTATGATGAGGTTTGCTTTTAAGAATTATATTTCTACATAGATGATGAGCATGAGACGTTAGTAAGGACTCTAAGTAAGTAGAAATTTAGGGTCGTTACCTTATAAGACCAACAATAATGCTGCAGAAGAAGAGCTTAGATAAATGCTAGGAATAAGCTTACCAATCTATTTTAAAGCGGTTAGATTGTTACTTGGATACGTGACAGTTGAACTAATGAGGGAGATTTATGACTTATCTTCGCTTTATCGAGATCATTAAAGAAACTTAAGCAATGATCAGCAAAATTAACCCAAAATCATCACATAATAGAGAAATGATGAAACTTGTAGATAGATACCTGATGGAGCTTCTCCTCTATATCCTTGAAAAGAAAAGGGTTACCAACAAATGAATTTCTGCAAAAAAAATTTCTATAAGGAATCAGGACAGAGGCAAACATACAGGAAAGAAGCTAACGCCGTTAAGTCAACAAGTAACTTAAATTGATCATAGAAAAGATTGCTTTCACTGTCAACACTTGCATCGATCGCTAAATTGATCATAAAATTTTGATCGGTTATTTTGATCACACGCATGAACAGTCCAGATTAGGAAAACAAATAATAAAAAATGACAATATCACAAGATAAAAAGAATTGATGAAAACTTGCAACCTGTGATGCTATCCATGGAAAGACTTTTTCCCTAAAACAATGAAGCTTGAGAAATACCAAAATAATAATGATAATAATCACCCTTGCAAAATGGACTTGCTCAATCATGATCTAAGCTTTATTTGAAAAGCAAAGACCAAGTTATGATTCGCAAACGTCACAATTCTGAAAAGTCAGAGCTCAAACAAGTTTATTTCAAAAAGAAGCATTTCCTAACGTACCCAAACAAAAAAGGGGATGTAATTTCTCATGAGAGAGTAAAAAGAACCAGTGGATCACAACATATCTGATACACCGATTGAAAGACCAAATTTCCAACTTACCCAAAATCAATCAGTGGACGGACATAGTTCTGACCAAACGTGTAGTAATCAAAAGGCTCTCGAACTGCTTTGTGGTGTGGTGAGAAGACAAAAGGTTCCTGAAATATTACTGCTATGCCTCAGACAAGAGAACATTCAGTTGTCTTTCTTAAAAGCTTTGACATACTGTAGTTGAAATAAAATCATATACTACCTCCACATCCAGCAATATGCGATCTAATGCAACAGTCATGTTAGACAAAACAATTTCATCTGCCTTTGGATTTCCACTCTTAAGAACCTGAAAATAAGGGACATGGAATTAATACTTTAAAAATACACCGTGATAAAAAAAAAAACAAAAAAAAACAAAACAAAAGCAAAACAAAAGACCGTGAACTTGGAAGGGAAGAGAACATTCTATAAAAGAGGTCTTGTATTGGGATAGCCAAAACCCTCGGTCAGTGAATCCAAGGACAGAGACAAGGCTGCTTGAGTATCTAAATGTTGATTCGATAAGCAATTCTAGATTTACAATTAAGGTGCACGATGTTACAACAAGTCAAAGGGAGAACATAGACAAAACGTAGACATAACAGTGTCATCCCTTCACTTTATGATTCAACATCTAAATTTTATTTTCTAAGCATCTTTGCACTTCATCAAACAATTACTTTTTTTACATCTTTTATGGGAAAATTCTACAGGTTGTAGACAAACTTTAAAAAAGATTATTTAGATTGTAAAATGACGATGGCGTAGAGTACAGTATGTAAACTTTCTAAGAGGTTAAGTTGCAAAGAACCAACCAACATAACCCTTAGTCAATAGTATAAATGCCTCAACAATGAGTAGGCTCTAATTAGTTCCTTGTACGAAGGGGTTTTCTCGACTCCCTGCCCGTAGGTGTTTCTTCATTTTGGTCACATCAAGCACCTTATGTCTCTTATTTTTAAAATAATAATTAAAAAAAAAAAAAAAAAAGAGTAGTCAAGAAAAAGTTATATTAAATGATGCACGTACAATCTGCCTCCTTACAATATCTGTATTCATTCAGCTCAATTTATTCCCAATGCGAACTATAATCATTTCTGATGGAACTTGTTAGACTTAGATTCCTCTAATAACCAGAATTACAAAATTTAAGCATGGAAACTCTGAAATTAATTAATGTAGCTAAGAAATTCCTTAAAAATTAATCAAGATATTAGAGAGAATACTGCAAATAAATAGAAAGAACTCTTTATTTCAAAGCTAGTAGCGATAATGGCCCACTCTATTTCATTAGTCTAGGCTCCAGATTCCAAGAAACAAGTCAAAAGCAACAATCAAAATGAATAAGCGAATGAAAACAAGTGAATTTGATAGAACGGAATCACTTAACAATCCAAGAGAAATTCCCGCAAGTCAGCGAATAACACTCATCAAACAAAATAATACATCTGATGAATTTATTAAGGGGGAAAACCAACAAAGAGGGAACTTTTACGGCATTTTTATAATTCTGATACAATTCTTCCATTCCTGCAGCAACATTTGAAGGCAGCTTTCCAGCTTCTGCCTCCCTCCTGATGTAGGAGAGCAACTCTGCAGATAAGATAAATCAACATTCTACATATTGCTTAAACAAGATTGCTTTCTTTTTATTAAAAAAAGAAAAATTGGTTAAGAAAAATAAATCAGAGGAACAAGAAGTATTAAAAAGAAAGATTGATGTCTGATACGTAAAACAACAAAGAATTCAAAAAAAAAAAAAAAAAAAAAAAAAAA